TCACTGAATTTACAGCTCTAGAATGTGAATGACCAAGGATATAGACAGTATTCTGAGTGAGATACTGTCTTTGGATAAGGGCAATAATGCTTTCATCTCTGCACTACACACACCTTGGCATATATCCTTACAGCACTAGGTAGGAGATCCTGTTGCCCTTTTCCTGACTATTTTGTACCGATGGCTCGATTATCTGATCAATGATGCACTTAGATTTGTTTCTACTAGATGAGCTTTCAGTTATTAAGAGTGATAATTTTTATTCTAAGAGCACGATGGTATGTTTTGTAATATTATGCTTAAATAAATTTATTTTATTTTGCTCCATATCACTAAGTACATCATATGACACTTCAAGTTTTCTTTATCTTCTGAAATCTGTTCTCGAGGTATGAACTGTGAGACAAATTACAACCTTTTTATTTAAAAAAAAAATAAGGTTTTTATGCCACCATGCACTTTAGGCAGTAACATTTGCTAAGTCCATCCGTTGCTGTAGACTCTTTTCCTTAGACCAGACCTGGGTAAATCAGCGATGCCCTTCACAATGTCCTTACCCCAAACTTTTGTTCCGATTAAATTAGATTCTCTTCCATCAGTGTTGTTCCATGATGTCTGTATTCCCTGAACCATGTGTCTCACCTGGGACTTGTGCTTCAGCCCTGGATGTTACTTCACCAGTTGTTTACTTAGTTTAACATGCTGTATGAGTAGTTCTTCTCTCTCCTTAATTCCCATGGTGTCTGGCTTGTTTTACTTATCATTGCTTGTTACTGTTGTTCTTGGTGTCAGTATCTCTCATCTCCCTCCCTCTTCATTCTCTTACGATTTAGTATGACTGTGCCCTTCTTTATCACCTGTTTGTTGACTCTAAGGAAAATATAAAGGATAATGAACAGTAAGGAAATCTGGCTTGGTTTTGTTCCCTCAATATTGCTGCTCTGTACCTCTGTGGATTGGTCCTAGAATCTCTTCAATACCAAAACTTTTTCCTTTAGAAGGGCAGGTGCTTTTACTGTGAGTCTGGCTACTTTATTACTTGAGCAGTTTTCACCTGGATCTCATAGTTTTAGCAATGCATACTAAAAGAAATCTAGGTATAAAAACCAGATAATGACTTGAATAAAAGTTAAGGTTACTGAAGGGATGTTGATTTTGCAGTGTAGACAGTATAAGCTTATAAGGTTACTATTAAAATTACCTTTTCCACCTATATATGGTCTGATTTTTAATTTTTTTTTCCTTTTAGTACTCTGATCTACAAGTTTGGAAGAACAGAAGAGTTATGGGGATGAGAGATCACATACAGCATTGTCTATTCCATAGTTGCTATGTCGTACTATGTATGTAGATATATTTACATTTATTTGTTCTTGTTTTGCTTTCTAAATTGTATGAACCGAGACAAATTACAGTTTCTGTAATAAGCTCCCTCTTTTCACAGGACAGATTTGTGAATATGTACATATGACTGTATATATCTTAAAAAGGGAATGTCAGGCTTTCTTTCTGGAACCTTCAGGCTTATTTCTTCAAATACATGGGTTTCCATCAACTCCTAAGACTTCATCTTCCAAACCTTCCCATGTGTCAGAGACTTCAGTGGAACTAGTTGTGAACGAGCAGGATAAAGCCCGTGCCCTGTAGAAGGGTTTATTCCTTTCAGGCATAGGTGAGCAAGGGCTGACAGCAAGGGCTGCCTGGGTGACCTGGAGGAGTAGTCAGCGCATGGAAGTGACCCAGCTAAGCCTGTATTTAACGGGGGGAAATTCTATTGTATGCTGAGATAAGAGCTGATTTTAAGAATTTTATATAACTGTTCAGAAAAATATAAAGTAGCTATTTTTTTGTAAAAGGTTATGAATTTTTAAACAAGGCCCTATATTAAGCAGATTCTGCATGGCAAATCAAACTGTTGTTGACTTCGGATTGCTGTAGCACAAATGACATTTGGTGGCACTACGGTCCTTGGAATTATTTTCATGCTGTTTAGTGTAATAGATGCCAATTAGTATTTAATGTATTTACTGCTATTAGAATTTAAAAAAAACCCCAAACAACCAAACACTGATGCTGGTCATACCTAAGGAATATAAAGAATAAATGAGAGTCAGACTAACGTGTTTAAAATTACACTAGCATAATTTTCTTCAGGGGAAGCTTTTTGCTGATAAATGAACGGTTATCCTGCTACCTATTACCTTTTCTGTTTAAAAGGCAAGCATTTCAAGTGGGGATATAGTAGATGTATTTATTGCTACCAGTTTTTTCTTGAAATCATTGCCAGTTTTAGAACTGCCATTTGCCCCAGTTAAAATGTTATTTATCTCCTAAATTTCATGGGCACGTTATGGGAATACTTCCATTATTGAAATCCAGTTTTGTGTAGCTGGAGTATACAGGCAGGGAGAACAGTGATGTGGTACAGCTTTGGACTGATGTGGTATATTCATCTTGCTGTTAGTGACTTCCTTATCTTATGAGTTCGATGTGGTTTTTAAAGCATTTGAATCTCATATCTAAAAACTTTCCATGTATCAGGATCGCTGACCAAATGGTATTAAACTGCAGAATGTAACTTCTGTGCATGGTTACTGTATACTGTTAGTCATCTAATTGCTCCCTTGTGGGAATCTCTCCAGTGGACAGAATATGAAGCAAATACTGCAGCTGAAATTGTGCTACTGGCTAGACTAACTTCCTCCCGAGGTCACCGTCCTGCAGTGAGTTACCACACATTGACTGGTGTTAATTGTAGCTTTGTACATAAGAAGTTGTCTGTTTGATTGTAATTTCAGAAAACTGCAATAAACTTTATGTTATGTTCTCAAAATAGTGAACTTCACAAGGTAGTTGTACGGTAGTACTCAATAGCTCATGTAGTACTGACCTTCAAGCAAGTCTTATACCAGCTAGCAAGGAAAACCAAGGTTTTTGTTTTCAGGTCTGTCAGTTTCTTGTTGAGGTGCTTGGGAAGGGTTGTTGTATCTTTTACTAAGTGGGAAACAAGTGTGGCCTGTAACTAATCACACTTACACTATCTATCTTGCTCCTGACACTTGACCAGAACAAGCTAAGGAAGCATTTGACGCTGGAAGAACTCTTAGAACGTGCTTGAATGCAAGTTCCTGGTTAAAAATCAGTTTTCTTGGGAGTTTCTTCCTGAGGTTACCTGCATTTTCTACCAGAAGCTTGCTTTCTTGCAAGCATTTCTTGACCATCCCTTCTGGTTTTAGAGAACTGGAGTGGTCATGCTGTCTATACAGCTGCTGAGAGGAGAAAAGAGGCAGCTTTGAGCATGTGTCCTCTCTTGGTAGGTGAAGCTGAGAACAGGTGTGGTTTAAGAACCATGCAGGCTTTATTCAGAGTATCCCAAATAAGTCCATCACAGGTAGTTCCAGCGCAGGCCAAGGTGGACAGGGATCGCTTGTTTTAGCTAGTGCCTTGGCCTGCCACAGCTGGCAGTTGTGAAGATAACCCTTGAGCTACTCCTAAGAAAAACTTTTTTAACTTTGGCCTATTTGTGCAACTGTAAAAATATTTAGTAACAACTGTCTTCAAGAGAAGCCTAGTGCAGGGCTTGTTCAGGAAGTTGTATGCTGTATTGCTAAATATTGGCAGGAGATGTTTTCACTGCTTCCTTATTTATGTCTTCTGTTATGCCTTTAGGTTACTCCTTTTGTGGTTCTTCCTTTGTTTACAGCACAGTATATAAAAAGAAGGTGGATGAACTTAAAAGCAGGTATTATGCAGCTTGTGGCTGACTTGAAAATTTTTTTTCCAGCCCTGAAGTATGACTAAGCCTTCAGAGAACTACATTGTCTTGGCACCTTGCCTAATCACAAGTGGTTAGATTAGTGCTTTGAGAAAACAACCTCATGAAGCTTTTGGGGAAAGATGTTACTGATTTTTCATGCTACTCTTGTGTATTCCTGGAAGGGATGGAACAGCATTACCTCAGGTTCATTAACAGACCTAAGTAACTTGAACAAGTCATTTGCAAATAAACAAGTTTTTTTTGTTTTTTTTTTTAACAACTTGTATCAAACCCAAGACAAAAGTCAAACAAATAAAACCAACCTTTTTAGTACAGAAGTGGTTCATTTGTTCTTTGTGCTTTATTAGACACTTTCCAGACCCCACAGGATGGTGATGTAAGGCTTAAGTTGTAGTCTTCTGTTTTAAGAGACTTAAAATACAACCCTCAGTCAACTTTTCATTTGTAGGACTAATCTGATGATAGTCAACAAGAGGTTTTAGTGTCTGATGATGACTGATACATGTTATACAAATTCTGAGCAAAATTAAAGTTCAGTTTGCTGTAAAAAATGCAGGAGCAGAAGATTAATGCTTCTTATGAAGGTGATACTAGGAGGCCTGTCTGGGAGCAGTTCTTTGCACAGGTTCATACTGAAGAGAGCAAAGTACTATAAAATTTCTTTTTAGACTGACATTTTTATGTGGAGGGTGGAAACTGCCACAGAAGACCGCATGTACTTAAAAATGAGAAAATGATTCATAAAAGCATACTGGGGTGGATATAACACACAATAACAGACTTTACAAACAGGCAACAAAACAAAAGCCACTATAAAATTAATTCATGGTGCAATTACTCCAGGTTGTACCACGTCCTGCCATAAAGTGCCGTTCTTTCTCAAAGCTTTATTTCAACTGGGGGTGGGAAATACGATGATGTTAACGTAACCGCTTTATAACTACCCGTCTGGCTTGAGGCAATTTAGTGTTCATTTCCCTTTCAGGTTCCACCTTTTAAGTCTCTTTGGCAGAACACAGTTGCTGTTGTAGCACAGCAGAGGCCATTTAAACAGAGGCTCAGGGTCCATGCTCTTCTCAGGAAGCAACATCTTGCTCAGGATTTGGCAGTGGCCGTATTTTGTCCAGAGCTTGTTGTCTGTCCTGCCAGCAGCCACAGGGCCCCACTCATGGGCAGGAGCCTCTGCAAAGACTTGGTACAAGCACTCTCACCAGGCCACCGCTTAAGTTACTTCACTCTCACCAGAGATGCTGTGTGAATGAGCCTGACCATCCAAACTGCTGCCACAGGCTTGGCTTCCTTCTCCACACAATACAACAGATAAGGAATCATGAGGATCATCCTCAGCATAATTGTCCAACACCTCCAAAACAGGCATGTTGGGGTCCTTCAAATACTGCAGAAAGCCAGAAACAACAGTTTAGATATCTATCCACAGGACAGATTGGAAATTACACAGACAGAGCAGGTACCACCACCTACAGGCAAGTTGCTTCAGACTAGCTGCTAAATGTATATTCTATTCTGGATTTCCCTGAAACTGCACTGAAAAAGGAAAAAGTTAAAAATACCTTATTTCTGTGGAGGAAAAAAAAAATTAAAAATCATGCATATGTCCATTTAAGTGAGTTAAACCAGTCTGCATTTCCTATTTTTTTTTATAAATTTTAGCTAATATTCTTTCAGTTTAAGCAAATTCCTACTAGTTAGGAACAAACCACAGAAGAAAACACTTATTACACTGCTGGGGATGTATCCTCCAACTGCAGGAACCTGGCAACTGCCAGCTTGTCTAAACTGCTGGTGAGACAAAAGGAGATCTAAGATTCAGGTTTGTTCAGTGTCAGGCAAGTCAGATCAACATCTTCTGTTGTTTCCAGAAAACTATCAGCGTTCTTCTCTCGTAGTTACTTTTGCTTTGACTTCACCTCTGCTCCCGTTTCCTCCAAAAATTAAGTCACCAGCTTTACAATGAATGCATAATCAAAGAAAGGAGCATCAGGAAAAAAAAAATGTAGGCCAGAGAAAAAGCTTTCTGCTCCTCCTGCCACCCCCATATACTCTCCTTATCACTAAGCTGATCTTGTGTTTCACAGGAATTAGAACCATCTACCACATCATGTACTGAACAAAAAAACTAACTAACTAAAAATAAATCTACCACTGAACACTTTTCCTTTGCTTTAAAATAAAATAAATGTCTGGAACACAGACACCAGGACATTGTTAAAAGACTGACACACTTGTAGTTTTACTCAAAAGCTTGTTCTGTACTGTAGGAGGTGCCATAATCTGGCTGAGACAGGGCCGCAGCTCAAGTCATGTCTGTTGTGGGACAAAATTAACCATAGTTTCGATTAAGGCACCACTTTATAATCACAGCAAGGCTAATGAGCAACAGGATCATTTTTTCAGGTTTATTAAAAACAAATGTTTCATACGGGAACCTCAAATACACCCACTTCAGCAAATTCAAGACATAAGTGAGCCTCAGTTTGGCTTTGCTACGCGAAGGTGTTTCTGCAGTGGAACTGCTCCTGGTAAACTCAAATGCTGAAAGCTCAGGTCCTTCTGTAAAAGAAGGAAGCATGTGGTTTTTCTGAAAATGTAAAAGAGTATATATGAAACTGACTTAAAATAACCTGTATTCTGTACTCATGTGTTTTAAAAGGAGAAGACCCAGGCTGGTTGATCCCTTTTAGAAATACACTTTTAAAAAATTCTGCATATTTACTGGTTTTCCTTCATTTCTTATCCATGTTTTGTCCAAAACTAGGCTCCCCATTGTTCAAGAGTATCTACTTTTGCTGCCTGTTTTCCAGATTAATACAATTACTCCAGAACACACGATGACAGACTCTATTCTTGCAAGTCCTTTGCATGAAATGCTGCACTGTTTTA